TATATATATATATATATATATATTTACCTCCAATCAATTTAAAAAATTTAGAACAAAACCAATTTTATTATTTAGCAATACAATCTCTATGTGGTGAAACTCTTTACTTGTTTTTCTAGTACTTATACAAACATGTAATCATTCAAGGAGATGTACTTGCACTACCATCAAATCAAGTAAACCAATAGTGGTCAATAATATATCACAACAAGTCATATTCATAAAGTTAGTTATGTTACATTCCTGGTGCCAGTAGTAATATTTTGTAATTGTCGCTAACATACTTATCAAATTAAAATGCATATTATTTTCAATAAATAACATAAAGATTAGAAAATCAAATATAATAGAAATTAACTTCAAACATAAAAATAATATAACACTGATATTTAAACAAATTTTTGCCCTCGTTCCTGAGAAAAATTTGCGCATGTAAGACGTTCAAAAGGTATTTGGAGTTATATTAGCGTTATACCTCATGCAACCTAATTATATCTTCTAGTAAATTCTGAACTTCTGTTTTCATATATTTGTAGGTTACAAATAGTTACAAATATATTATATGGAGGTTACAGAGATGTTATATGGGTATAATACGGATATAAGTCTCTGAATACCTTTGAATAACACTGGCGCATAAGTTTTTCTCCTCGCTGCCTCCGAATCTCTTTGCCTGATGTACCAACAATCTAACTTTTTTCTCACGATTACCTCGTTGCTAAGGGACAACAGTACCAAAGCATTTGATGTTTGGCTTTCTCCATTTCTATTTATAATCCCCCCAAAATATAAATGATACGTGACCTCGTATCCCCTCTCAGGCTCTGTAAAACATTGCTCTTCTTGTCCTCTCTCCTCTTCATTAAGAAGCAAGGTGAAGGCAAATGGCCGGCGATGAGGTGCAGGAGCCGCGCCATTCTCCGCTGCGGAAGGGCTTGTACACTCTTTTCATGATTTTTATTGCTATACTTTCAATTACGTTCACGTACTACCTCCTCTTTTCGAACTCCTCTGGCTCCGACTTGACCTCCTGCCCTGCTTTCGCCGGTAGTTCTCCGGCCATCAGTAGAAGGGATCAGGGAGGTATGGATTTTTCTCTATTGATTGTTTTTCAGAGTTAGATTGTTGAAGGATTTTGGCTCATACGCACGTAGTTCTGCATGCATATTCCTCCAATAAATTTCCAATAACTCAGTTATTTACGTGTAGAGAATGCACTCGCCGTACGTAATCTCCTCCCAATAACTTCTAGATACCTCTATGAATATTATTATGGGGCTATTGTGGAGTCGTTTCGACGTTATTTGGAGTTAATACCTTCTGCAGTTACAATTTGTGAATGTGTGAATGTGAAAGTGTAATGGTGGAGGGTATTGACTTCAAATAATGCAAAAATAACTCCGCAATAACACTCCAATAATTTTTGCAGAGGTTATTAAATAATTATTGGGAGAGGATTATGCACGAATAGCTGCGTGCATTCTCAGTACGTAAATATTTTTCCAATTTTACAGGGTAGTCGCCAGCCCGCCCGCCCGCCCGGCGCTTGCTTTTGAGCGCAAGTAGTCTTTACTTGCAAATATTTCACTAATTTCAAGAAAAAAAAATATTAGTAATACTGGCATTTCCATATTTATCACATTATTTTTAAGTATTTACACGGCTAAAATAAAAAACTGTCATATTTATATTCACGACACTTAGGCCTTCCTTTAAACGGGACGCTCCCGATTTCTCAGCTTTTTCTACACCGCGACGGAGGTGTATTGTTTAACATCACATTTAAAATATCAATATTATTAGTTTCTTAATATTAAAACACGCCTTTATGTCATGTATAAATCTATGATGCCAAAGTGGGATAAAATAAATATGAAATCTTAGGCGTTATGAAATGTGTGGTACATGTAAATTTTCAAAGAAGTTCCGATTGCTTTGTATGACAAATTTTTATGAATTTCTTTTATTATTATTATTTTTTTATTTATTTTGAGGAACTAAAAGTGACACGAACTCCATGAACTTTTCAGATTAATCGGACTCAAAATTAGCTTCAACGCAAATTGAAGTTTCGGTTGTGCTGAAAAACTTGAGATAAATTATTTTTAATGCGGCTTGAAATCAGTTTGTAAACTCAGAATTATTGATGCAATTTTAATTTGGGGCTTTTGCATACATAGCACCCAATTATTATGTATTTGTTTATCTCACACCCAAACTTTGATTTTTACAATTTAAGCACATTTTCCTATGTCTTAAATTGTAAAAATTAAAGTTTAGGTGTGAGATAAGTAAATGAAAAAAAATTGGGTGCTATGCATGTAAAATTCCCTAAATTAATAAATTAAACATCTAAAATTCTGGTATAAATTTAATTTAAAAAAAAAATAATTGAAGAAAATCATGAAAATAGAAACACTGCCTTATATATTGTCAAGTTGATTTAAATAACGATTTAGACAAACAATCTAAGCTTGAAAGCTGCTCAAAACATCTTTGAAGCTTTAAAATAAAATCTTAATCAACTCGAAATGATTTCTTTGATTCTATATCAACTCAAAATTCGTTTAATTTCTGAACGAATTTTAAATTTTATTTAATTTTACAACCACTAGCCATGAACAGTGGCCACCACAGGATTTCTGGCGCCATCTCCACTCACTTTTATTTGACAAAAGAGTTGCTATAATAAATAACAAAGCAAGGATGACTGGTGCGTATTTTTGGGATTAGTTTACTAATCGTAGAACGGGATAATAAAAAGGAATTAAGGAGGAGCAAGTTTTTTGGTTTGTTTTCATTTCTTTTGTTTTTCTAGGCCGGAAGACTGCATCTACATTAGAAGATTTGGCCTCTGATAGTTAAAAAATAACTTTTGGTGTTTTAGGATGCCATTTGTTCATCATATATAAAATAACTCAATTATTTTAATGAGCTCTGAAGAAGCATTAGTTAATGGAGGCTTTCTTTTTTATTTGTATCAATGAATGAACCCAATATATTTTCATCTCATTAGCTTTTTCTTTTTAACTTTCAGGTCTATCAAGGAGTGACTCTTATATTCGACTTCCTGGAATGTTGTCAAATTCTAAAAATGAGTATTTATTAAAAGGTGATTGATGTGTAGAATTTATTTTTTAAGTACATAAATAGAGTTTATTCGCTTAGAACTACGGATGCAATGTTCCGTGGGTGTTTAAATGTTTAATAATTGCATGCTTGAGCTTATCAATCTCTCAAGTATTTGGCTAAAGTGGAAATTTTGGCAGCAGGAGAGAATCAATTAAAAAGTTTTGGTTAGTTTCTTTTATCTTGATCTGAAAAATGTATGCAGTGCATTCAAGTTTTATCATTTTTGACCCCATATACAAGCCTTGAAGTTTAGCAGGGCTCCAAAATTCTTTGCGGTAAGCTAGATGCATAGTTTTGTTGTGTGGAAATGTGAAGTTGCAGATTGCATTGAAGAAATGATTTACCCATTTTAATTGTTATAGTAATGCAAAGTAGAGATTTTATAGATTTCTTATTCCCCTTTAGACTTCCCTTGAGGTGAATACTGTAATAAACCTTGGCCAGCATTGTGAAATTGTTGCCTAAAACTAAAAGGTTAGCTGCTTAACCTTCAGTTTTTCCTGCATACACTATAAGCCTTTTTGTCTATGTATGCGTTTTAATTGCTGGTTTGGAACTAACGGCTGGAAACTTGTGTGCTGGCAATGCAGGACAATGTGATATTTTTTCTGGACAATGGTTAAGCGACCCTTCAGGACCTGCATACACCAACCTTAGCTGCAATTTTATTGAATCTCCTCAAAATTGCTTGAGAAATGGCAGGCCAGATAAAGATTACCTTTACTGGAGATGGAAGCCTTATGGTTGTGAGCTGCCCCCTTTTGATCCATTTAAATTTATGGATGCAATGAAAGATAAAACGTGGGCCTACATTGGTGATTCAATTTTCCGAAATCACATGCAGTCAATGATTTGCCTTCTCTCCAAGGTTCATTTCGAGATACATATATTTTTTTTTAATTTGACCTTTTATTTAAAAAGATTTCATTTTTACTGCTTATTTTCTTATTTAGATTTTTTATGAAATTCTTAGAACTTTGCCATTTAAGAATTGTATTAATGCTCATTATTTATTTAGTATGAGTATGATGTGAAAATACATATCTTTTAATCTCAACGAATAAACTGAACTAATTAATCTTTTTAGTAATATTACTTATGGTATTGTGCTTCAGAAATTAATATGAAGTTAGAGTTCATAGAGCTCTTTTATATTAAGAGTGAAAGTGTATACAAATTAGTTCATAAATAATGTACTACCCGTTTACCTTTTCATTTCACAATTTTGGTGTAAATGCTTGTAGATTTTTTATTTATTCTATTTTATCTTTTCATTTTGTTTAGTCGTACATCTTCTAGCAAGCTAAGAACAAATGTGCTTTTTCCTATCAGTGGAGGTGACATTTTTCGCTAGGCGAATTACATTCACACTTTTAAACCTTCAATATTTCTCTTTTTTTGAAAATAACATTGCGTATCTCTGTCAATTTGGCTCTCTCTATCAACTCGAGTTAATCGTACGTTCCTAGGAATACTCAATTTTGTCTAATCATATTTCTTGGTATAGATAAAAACTCGTGACATATGTTTTTAGCATTATGAATTTATCATATTTCATTTCTTGGTAGCATTATATATTCAAACTCATACAAAATTATAGACCAGTCTCATTACACAACTTGTAAATTTATTCTGCATTCAACTCATTGTAAAAAGGGGTAACAATATTCTCTAAAATTACAACAAAATCCTTTCAATGGATTTTTGCATGCCGGGTGGATCTCCAAGCTTGTCTTGATATTGATCTCTCAACCATCTTCCTTAAATTCATATACTCAATCCTTCTATATTTGTAGATTTTCTTATTGATGATTCTGATACCCTCTTTTCAATAGTAATATCTTATAATCTTACATTTTTTTTCTCTTATTTCACATTTATCATAAAATGGTATCATGACCTACCCTAAAAGCTTAGGATTACCAAGACAAAAATAGACGGTTGGATCAAAAATTCAAATCTTAATTACTATGGCTAATTGAAAAGCTGCAAATGAATAAAATTCAATACCCTCTAAAATTTAAAGTGAAACATGTATAGGTGTAGTTTTTATTTCATCACTTGGTCGTGCCTTTTGTAGACATTCTCTTTTACACTTATTTTTTATCGTAAGACTTTATTCCAGAAGAGATTATTTAAATTATTGTGAGTTATCAACAGCCAAATGTAATCTCATTTTCTAAAATTGCAGCGATATAAAGGAGCTAAAAAAATAATATGGATGCTTGTTAAATTAACTAAGCAAGTATAAGATTATTTGATTGTTTAATTTTAAAGAACATGATCATAGAAGAGATTCAAATTATTCTACTATACAATAAGAATATTATTATATCTTATTTGTATTTTCTTACATATCACATAACTCAGAAGAGCATTGTCAGAAGTATATTAATATATTTTTTTCATGTACATGCACCTACACTTACATTCCAAGCTAGAACTAAAAAAGGATGAACCTTATCAATCAATATGTTATATAAGCATTATATATATACATATTATTTTCTTTACATTTTACATATTATTTCATATCTTTCTATAGTTAACTTTATATAGTGTACGATAAGTATTTGAAATATATTAGAAGATTGATCTCAATCAATTCGACATGATTAACCAATCTACTTTATAATTGAAATAAATCATGAATGTAGTTAGAATAACAATTGACTAGATAACTTCATAGGTGCCACCGCCTTTTATTTAACTCCTATAATTTACAGTATATTAGAATTAGGGAAATTAGAGGGAATGCAAAAACATTTAACTTCACGGTTTCATATTAGGTGCTTAGTTCTCATGAAATCTAACTAATTATATTTATCTAAAAAATCTCAAGAAATGCATTTTTCAATGGCAATTTTGTATAGGATCCTTGTGAAAACTTGTAATAAAAATTTATTGTGCCATCATTGTGACTCATATATTTTTTTTCGCACAATTGAAGCAAAAAATCATATTCTTTTCAATAAAAATAGGATTAATTTTTTTAAATAAATTTCCACTCGAATAATTTTGGGCGGGGGTGGGGAATTACATTTAATTTCCTCTATTTCACGTTCCTTGAACAAAGATTGTTATTTACTATTTTTTACCAAATCATTCTAGGTATCTTGCGTTCGTTAATGTTGCAAAGAGAGCTGCCAAAATACATAATGTGATATTATTGTGTTCAAGAAAAATGCACCCGAGGCTAACACAAAATAAAAAGATATTATGCAAGCACAAAGCTCTATGTGGGTTAGTTTCAGCTATACATGTCTAATATAGAGGAAAGTAATCTCGACTTGATAATAAAACAAAAGCCCAAAGCAGAAAGTCAATCATTGTGTTCAAATCAAGAGCACTTATTAACCCTTGCCCAAATCCCAAATATATTCACAAACCATAGGTAGATTACAATAACAATAACAACAACTCACATTAAGTGGGATTAGCTATATGAATCATTTTTCTCCATTGTGTCCTACTAATTGTCTTATTTTTATTTAATTATAATAAATTAAGTATAAAAATATTCCAAAAATCACACAATATAGAGATTACCTTACACACAAAAAACCTTATTCATGAATATGCAGTATTCCCTTAATCCTATTCAATAAGAGGGTTGTAAAATACTCATAAAGGATAAAATATAAATCTTTTCGAGCTCCCAAATATCGCTCTCATATATGGTACACACCCCACCCCACCCAAAGTCCTAAATATTTTATTATGTGCCTTAATAAAAAATAGTTCATAGAATGACAAACTTATAACCTTACACTATTGTTTCATACATATACATGCTAATTAAATTGTTTAAAAAAGAGAAAAAACAGAAATTGTTTTGACACATGAGAGGAACAAGATGATTCAACTAACCTGTAGTCTTAAAAAGTTCCTTACTAGTGTTTATATAAAATGTCTCAGCTTTTTTTTTTAGTTTTCTTGATAGTTTCACATATTTGCTTCTCCCTTTCCTTAGTAGACTACTTTCTAGCTTACAAAATTCTTCTTTCTCTCAATACATTTGCTTCTAGGGGTATAAAATTTCACTATAAGTCATTCCATAATGAGTAAACCCTTGTCTTAGTTTTTTTTATCAACGTCCTCAAGTTTGGAAATTGTGTCTTTTGACAAATGATTCACATCTTCTAAGCATATAATACACTTTTCATTCAACATGGTGTTATGAAAATAATTATAAAATAGAATTAAGGTTGATAATACTAATAAAGTGTAATCCTCACCATCCGTAGTGTGCATGTGTCTTCATTTTTTTTATTGATTATTGTAGGAATCGTTAAATTCCTTATATTTATGATCACCAAACTATTTTGAAAAAGAGTTCATCATATCAGAGTCATCTAAAAGCTATTTTTTTCACTATTAAATTTCATCGTATCTTTAGCAATAAAATATTCTTTTTTTCAAATATTTTTATGATCAGTTATAAACAAAGCTTTCATACCATTTTGTTATGCTGAGAAATGTTGTAAGACACAATGCAAAAGCATCATTTTGGTTTATATAGATGTGCTCAAAATAAGCATAAAATAGAAATAAAACACAACCATATGCACACCATAATTTGCATTTTTTGGCTTCATTAATATTTACATTTGTAGAATAGGATAGAGGATCTAATCCACTGCAGTAATGGTGTAAAATCAAGAGTAATATCAACAATTGTCCAATACCACTATACACTCACATATATTGAAATGGAAGAAACTCGAGTCTCAAAATACACAGATTATGTCATACTTATGAACCTCTATCCTTATAGTCACAACAAACTCTTTCAAATCATGCAAGAACTTTGTTCACTTAAATTGTAAGCCAAACATATAATGCACATTTTCCAAAGGTAGTTATCCTAAAATAAATAATATTTACATAGTCAAACAATAAAGGAATTGTTTATGGAATTCCAATTGCTTATACAAGAATTTCTAATTTTATAGTAACAATAAATGTCATGAAATTTATTTCTATGACTATCATTATATTTAATCATTCTGATTTGGCATGCTTCATCATCTATTTGGAGAATATTGACATTCTATTTCCTTCCAGCCTATTTGGTATGACACTACTCATATCTAAATCTAATATATACATATGATTTCTTTGTCTTTAGAAATATTCATAACAAATTCCCGATTAACTTACAAAATTACCTTACGAGTTTCTATGACCAAACTGGGCTCAATGTTAAATGAAATAAAAGTGAGATTTCTTATCACCAAAATAACTAAAATTACATATATGTTTCCTAACTTAATTTTAATGTTTTTATTTGGCTATTAAGTATTTTGGCATCCTCTACATCATAGCTCTATTTCTTCCTATAAATTAACATCTATGCTTGGTGAGAATTCAAAATTTGTTTGATGAGTGAAACTAATATCTTTACCTTTTGTTGATAAGGTGTGGGTCCTAAACTCTTCCATTCCTAACAATGTAGTTGATTGATCAACATCCAAATGTATTTCACTATTTATCATCATAACACTTGCTAGTTGGTGCTTTCATTTCTTTTTCAATGATAGAACATCCATAATGGTGCATTGCTTTGCTAAGGCTAGTATAGCTTTGCCTAAAATAAAGCAAGGTTTTGGATTCCTCTAAATGCACTCCACACAAGCTATAAAATAGAATTTGGAGCAATTTATCTTAATAATGCTATTTTTTTATTGGTGTAGTCATATAGAGCCTTTTGATTGAGCTCTAAATTACTTATTTTTAAAATTAGGAATGTTTTTTATTCAACCTTAATGATCCGTGTTGAGCTGTTATACTATATCTAAAACTTTTGGAAATGCTTGCATCCCTTTCTTTAAGTTGTTGATCAAGTCTTCTTTTGTTGTTATAATTTTTGTTAGACACTGAAACTTCCTCAATCTCCTTTTTTTCTTCAATTCTTTATATTTTTGTAACTATTTTTAACATTATCTTATGTTAACTGAAGGATGAAATTATTTGGAATTTAAAAAATTTCTTTTTTAGTTAACATAATGCTTGTGTGATGTGTTAGTTTTGCACCCTAAATGAAGGCTAACATTTACTTCAAGCCCTTCTCAAGAGGGTGATGGTTCTAGTGAGATTACAATTTTATTTGTATTCAAGGATTTATAACTAGGGCTGGCTAAGGATGGAAACTAGTCTCCTAAGAGCCAATCACTTGAGATTGTTAATGTAGAAGAATATAATTAATGGAAGCATTAAAATTAGCTAAAAATGTTAGGCTACTGGGCCTATATGTAATCTAGAAATTTTAAAGATTTAATATAGTTTTTAAATATTTATTTTTTCAGATTTTATAATATACTAGGTCAAATGAAACCCTTATATATCTGACAACACTTGACATCAATTTTAATAAGTGGTTAGGGTTACATAAAAAATTTGAAAATACTTGTAGATTATAGAGTGTTAATTTTACTTTGGATATTGAATTATTCACAAATATTTCATGGGTTTATATTCTTCGAATGACTTTTAGAACCAGGCTAAATTTTGTTGACGAATATGGTTTCCATTATAATCTTCTGGGGGTTGATGGGAAACTAATTTTATATAATAGTGTAGAGATTGTATAAAAGATATACAATAAGCAACAGTAAGGATTTAACACAACTTACCAATCACTTACCAAAATAATTTGAGTTGAAGAAGATCACCCAACCTTCTTCTTTGGAGAGGCTTGTGACATATCCTTATTTGGAATTGTCTCCAATTATTTAACAAAACATCAACCCTTTCATTTTTTTTCTAACTTGAACTCATGATAATTTACATCATCACAAATTTGTGGGATGGCGACGAGCATATAAGCACCCACTAAGTGTCTTTGTCAGTTACTCTAATAGATAAACTTGTAGAGTTTGTTTTATTTTGTGCAAACTTTTATTTTCACATAAATTTATGTAAAATTTTCTCATTATTTGAAAAATACAAACTTCAAGAATTTAAAGTCTTGAACTTTTGAAATTCACATTTTACAAGCTTTTTACACATGAGCACAAATTAATATTAATAACCTATATTCTCAACAAAATAATTAAAAAAACTAATGTTGTAAGTAAAAGTCTTCAAGTGTATATTTATCAAATTGATTTGTTTACATAGGTCCCTAAGAAATTAATTTTTATTAGATTGAGCTTTCGTAGTTGTTTCTTTGTTCTCTCCATTGGCACCTTGTGTTACATCATTGTATCACTTTTTTAAACCTCCCAACTATTGAGTAGGCTAAGTATGTTTGGTTTTAAGGCCAAATCCTTATATTTTGGGTTTATATCCCGATGCTTGCTTGAAAGGGCTAAAAACTAAAGATTATTTGATTGCTAGATAATTTATTTACAATCCCATTTGTTCCTCTTGTGCTCGTTTCTTCAAAAGCTTATCGCTATCCACTCTACTTAATGTGATTTACTTTAAAATACAAAACCACAAGTTTTCAATTGTTCGAATGCAGTGCCATTATTTGATTCAACAATCAAAATATTTTTATGCTTCCATCTTCTTTTTTGACATAGACTAAAAGGAACAATCAGATTCACAAATTTAAAAACTATCACAAATATTGTATATACAATGAAGTATCAAGATTGTTACTAAAAAATTGGATAAGTTCCCATGAATCTTCCTTCAGATGCTTCGAATATTTTATCCCATTGGAATTGTATTTATAGATCCTATATTCTTAGGGCTCTTTTTCTAATTTCCTTCATTTGGACAGTGAGAATTAATCTCTCTCTCTCTCTCTCTCTCTCTCTCTCTCACACACACACACACACACACACACACACACACACACACACACACACACACACACACACACACACACACACACACACACACACACACACAGACACACAATTCTTTGGAGATTATGAAACTCGCGTATACTATCTTTTAATGCCTAATGGCCCCTCCTTATGAGTTATATCGGGTCCCTCTTTTACCAACTAGTGATTACTGGTACCTATTGAAATTGTGAGCTTCACATGCTTGTTGGCTTCGAATTGTATTTACTGATTCTGACTTGGCTGACAATTTGGTTTTTTTGGAGCCCAAGCTCTCTCTTAATCATTCATCCCTTTTTATATGCAACTCCATGCATTCATTCTTTTATTTGACATTTTTTTTCTAGTGCCTATGTTATTCTCCTTTCAATGCTTATAATATTGTTTACTTCTTTTTTTCCTTGATCAATATTTAAGCCTAAGCTCTCAATATTTTCAAATGTAATAAAAAAAAAAAGTATCATATGACTCCTCTACTTCCATGTCAAAATTTCTGTAATTTCTACATTCATAATATCCAAGAAAAGATCTACATTGTTGTCAACTTAAAAATTCTATGATTGTACAATACTCTTAAATATTGACAATGAAAATATATCTTAATTTTCACTTCTATTTTTATCTAAATCATACATTTGATAATGTTAATTTACTTTGCATGGTAGGTTGAGGAGCCCGTTGAAGTCTACCATGACAAGACTTACAAATCTCGGACTTGGTACTTTGTCAACCACAACTTCACTATTTCCCTCATCTGGACACCATTCCTAGTCAAGTCTGAGCTATTCGAGGATGATGAAGGCAAAGCAAAATCTGAAGTTCACCTTCACCTTGATATCCTTGATGATAAATGGACAAGCCAATACAATAAATATGATTATGTGATCTTTTCTGGTGGCCAATGGTTTCTCAAAGCAATGATTTTGTGGGTGCATAACACCACTGTTGGTTGCCACAACTGTAACAACCACAACTTAAAGGAGCTGGGCGTCTACTGCCCTTACCGCAAAGCTCTCCAGACGGTCTACGAGTTCATGACCTCCTCTGATCACAAGCCCCTCATCTTCTTTAGGACATGGACACCAGATCATTTTGAGTATGGGGAGTGGTTTAGTGGAGGGATATGCAATAGAACTAGGCCATATAGTGAGGGAGAATATAATGGAAAGCCCATCGACCATGTGATGAGAACTATTGAAATTGAGGAGTTTGACAAGGCGACACTCATGGCTTCAAAGAGTGGAGCTCGTCTGAAATTGCTGGATACTTTCCATCTTTCTGTTTTAAGGCCTGATGGGCATCCAGGCCCTTATCGTACCTTCAATCCTTTTGACAAGGACAAGACTGCTAAAGTTCAGAACGATTGCCTTCATTGGTGCTTGCCTGGGCCTATCGATACGTGGAATGAGTTGGTCATGAAGATTCTGTTTGATGAAAGTGGTATAAGCTATAGTTGACTGAGATTGCATCATATTATCACATTCTATTTGTCTTATGTAGAGCAAAAAATTGTGTTTGACACATTCTATTTTGAACAATACCCTTGCTCATCTTTGTTCTTGTCTTCAAACATGTAATATGTTTGCATTTACACTGCATCTTTATCTAGTTGTGCTCTACTACTCTTGTTGATTGAGAAATAAAGTTTGATGCTTTTTCAACATGAGAAACCTAGCTTTGTTTCTTGTATCCATTTCCACTCTATCTATATGAAATTTATGAGATGTCATCACCATAATTTTTCTTAGGAACATGTCCTGACTTGCATGAGAGACTCGTATCATCGCCGAAGCAAGGCCTTTATATACACTCCGCGAATGATGTTGCAATAGATGCAAGCCTTTATCGCTGCTTAAGATATATTTCACAAGGCTTGCTGTAAGAACATTACAGGACAATGTATGCATATTTCTGACATTAAGAAAAAAAACTCAAATTCCATTTGATATTGGGGTTTGTTTAGTTTAAACTATTTTATAACTCAATAGTTACTTGATTGAGTCAGTCATTCTTAATTTAACTATTTATACAATTAACTATATAAGATCCTTATAACTTAATCCTATGATCTATGCTAAAGTAGGAACATGAGCTCAAAAAGCTAAATAAAAGACATCTTGGCCATTTTAGGTTCAGTAATAGTCATTCCCTTTCTTGAGATCATCGAGATAATATTGATTGATCGTTTTAGTCAATGGTCTATTTTTACTATGTTGATCCTCAAACCAACTTCATTTAAACCATAATGTACATCATAGAATAAGCTAACTTGTGTGAAGCTAAGCTTGATCATATATTTTGTTGATCATGTCTAGTAGTAAAAACCACCTTAATATTTAAATTATCCATTCAAATATATCAACATGCTGAAGTTGGATTAAAGTTAAGTAAAAGGGTCTGTTTGGGGCAGCTGCAGCTTATCCAGCTTATGCTGATAACCAGCTTATGCTGATAACCAGCTTATGCTGATAACCAGCTTATGCTGATAACCAGCTTATGCTGATAACCTTGCTGTCTGTTTGGTTTGTGCGTTTGAAAAATAACTGATTCTGGATAAATGACCATTTTGCCCCTGTTTTGGATAAATTGTTTACCTGTTTGGTTTGTGTTTTTGGAAAACAGCTGATTTACATATTTTTGTATTATAAATCTTAATTTTCAAATTTTTTTTATATTCTGTGAAACATAAATTCTAATAAATAATTTACATTTTACACTAATTATTAAATAAATTAATTTAAATTTAATTAATTAACAAACTTACACGTCCCCACAAATAACACAAAGTACAGGCATATAAATATAGATTTGTTGCATGAAAAATTTGTAATTTCATGATAGAACAAAACTTTGCAGCTCACTTCACTTAAAATAGAGTTCAAGATACCAAATTAAAAGAAAAATACATATTGAAACTACAATTAGTAATATGCTTATAACATTCAATTTAAAATGTACCAGTAACATCTCATGAGAATCGTTGCTCTGCTGGTACACGATCGAACCACGAGCAACATTATGCGGTTGGGAAACACTCGAAGCACACATGATGGTCTTCGATTGTGATACCGTCGACCCCCATGCAACATTATGCTTCTTCCACCATAAAGACACATTTCAAATATAAATCAGTTGCTTTATAACGAATTTGCATTAAAGAGAATGGTATGGAGTATATGTAAGTTTCCCCTCAGCATAATGCTTTATAATTGATTCACATGTACAACCAAAGAACACCTTCTATAATCTTTGGCATCAGTTAAACTTTCATACCAATATGCATAATTGATTTTTATTCTTGTAAAGGGATTCAACAAGATTTTTTTTAAATTTGTGGAAATATGGTTGAGCAACAATTATTACAACATTTTGGTAGCCATTGTAAACCAATAGAAAGCATGCAGCTGCTTCAATTCCACAAAACAAGCAACCATTTTCATAGCCAAAGAGTCATTCCAATGAGCCCCTACTTCTAATAAGACAACATAAGCCAAAGAGTCATTCCAATATAGGCAATAGTTTGAATAGATGTAAAGAAATAGATCTCCTAAAAGGATCCTTTTAATCCAATTTTTTGTAAGTTCAGCGTCTATGTTTTGAATCTTGTTACTTTTTATCCCTAAAAGCCTCATCAAAACACTTTCATCATCGTAATAGTTGTTTAGCTCTTGTGCAGATGTTATGGAGAATATTTGGTGCAACTTTAAGCTAGAAAATATTTTTTGTATACATACAAACAATTAGCAGAAATCCGATTGAGAAGAGAACAACGGGATCGCAACTTCCATAATGTACTCATTGATGTTGAAGTTTTAACAGTTTGATTTTTTTCCATTAAAATTACTAAAGTTCTGATTATCACATATCATATCATTGAGATAGAAATTAAGTTCAATATGTATGATCATATCATCAATCAGATATAAATAAAGTTTAATGCTTTAGTAGTTAGACTGTCGAATCAAAAATTAGATTATAACAGTGGAAGAATGAATTTCAACTTCTAAATTTATTTCGAAAAAGTTTTACTTTCTTTGTGGATTTTGTTTAGAAAATGAATTAGATCGAATAGCAACAATAATTGCCTGTTTGAAAGTTGAACAAGTAGGAATGAACATGGAAATCAAGGGGAAAATAAATAAGTAATACAGTTGCAAAAACTAGCTAAAAAAATTCAGGAAAAAAATTTAATTTTTCATTAGAGATGAGAATGAAGCATCCGTGCTCACAAAAATTCACTTTTGAGGAGCAAGATCACAAATTTTAAAGAAAAAGTGCCTGAAACTTTGTTTGGATCTGCATAAAAAGCTTTGAACTCAGCAAAAACAAAAATTTGTTGGATTAGCAGACATACTTTCTAATCAAAGATGATAATTTTTACTCCTCAATCAGTAAACTTACCTCAGAGAATAAAAAAAAGCATCTTCACCCAGTCACCATACTCCTATCTCCCACCCTGTTAATCACCATAATGCCGCCATCCTTCCTCGCTATTATGACAGAGCTCGTCATCCCCAAGAGCATCCCATGCTCCACAACACCCACAGTCTTCAAAATCACATCAGTGATCTCTTCCAAATCGCCGCTAATCCCGTTCTCAAAGAACAGATCGATAACATAATTCAAATTATCAATCACGGAAGAAGTCGACTCAACATTAATGGGATCGCGGCTACCTAGGAAGGGAACTACAGGATTACAGCTTACCTGGGAAGGGAACGATGGCATCGCGGCTACCTGGGAAGGGAACGACATGATCGCGGCTTCTAAAGACCACCGAAACACTCCTATCAGAAATATGTTTGTTCGTCCTTCTTCCGTTCTTCCTAGGTTGAGGGCCCAAATGAACACGGGACGCGGAGTTGCGCGCCCCACGTTTATTAAGAAATCAAATAAGCCCATTTTCAAAGCGCTTACAGAACTCCGTAACCAAACAGAATTGAAAACACCGCTGCATCAATCATAGCCCAAACATGACTTTATGTTGAAACAATGGGTCAATTAAGAGTCCAATCTATCAATCTTTTAATTCAATATTCCAATCAAGTTGAAATGAAATGTAATTATTCATTGAATAGGTCTAAATTAACTCTAGTTGTCTATTTCTATAAAAGTCAAACTTGAGGGAATTAAGCCCCACCATCTAGGGAATTAACTCTAGCAAGAATCCATGTTGGTGTTGTCTTTGTATTCGACGGAATATATGATTCCTCCATTAATTGATTGGTGCTCTGAAATCCATCCTCAATGGATGCGTACTCCTCCAGAGTACTTAATGCTTTAAGTGGAGGACGTTGCAGTTCGGGAATTCCACAAATGCCCCTATAGCTGGTGTCCATATAGGAATTTCAAAGTTACATGCCGGGCAACCCACACAAAGATCATTTGAAACTTCTGGTATCTCCTACTCTATAGCAAACTAGGACTCATCCTCTGTGGTAGACAAGTTGGAAGAGGTCTCTCTTATGCCTGGATCATAGATTTTCCCCTAAGGAATCGGGGTAAGCAAGTTTTATGCCTCCTTCTACCGTCTCCTTTCTTCGCGTAGGAAAGCCCTATGCTTTCGGCAATTGGCATTTCTGCATTGAGTTCTTCGTAGTGCTCCATCAGGCAGTCTCTCATCATCAACAGTGACTAGGTCTCCGGTCGGCACAGTTATCATAGATGGCAGGCGACTAGTCCCCTCATCGGATCTTGTTTTTTAAACACATTTTTCCCCTTCATTGAGGAACTTTCCTGGGTGCTGATCTTTAACAGCGATGGTAGTCCTTCTCTTTCTCGACAGTTGACCACATCTATCAGGGGACCCTTATAGTCCATATCGACTTGATTGAAGTCCATGTCGAATTCTATAGTGCCACCTTGTGGTGCCCTTTCCTCGTTAAGTGCGAGATTCCAACCATCTTTGAAAGCAAAGATCAGCCTCTGTCCTGACATTTTCTCTGCAGATGACAGGATAAATTTGTCCATGTTGCTTTCATATGTGATGGCTTGAAAGCAATAAAAACGATATATATATATATATATATATATAGTTTAATTTAGTAAAGCATGAAACTTAAAGGTAGAAAAGAGAAAATTGAAGTGTGTAGTTTCAAAAGTTTTCATTATATTAAAGGTAACTTATTACAAAATTTTTAGACTCGGTCACAAATGTTTGGCCAAATAGATAATCCCAGAATAATCAAGATTTCAAAATTTCAATTCAAGAAATGTCAAGTTGCATAGTATGTCTTCAGGTATCGTCCGTTGATCGACAACAAGGGCCTTTCGCCTCGGAAATCCACCAGCTGGTAGACTCCTCCTGAGTAGACTTTTTCTACGACAAATGGTCCTTCCCAAGTTGGCTCAAATTTTCCACCTATCTTGCGGAGTGCAAGAATAGACGTTTTGAGAACAAGAACGAGATCACCAATTTTAAATGTCCTTGGGTAGATCAATTTGTCATGGATTGTATCATCTTCGTTTGGTAAAGCTCTAGATGTTGTTGTGCTTCTAATCATTTTCTTTCGAAACTTTCCAATTCTTCAAGTCCGAGCTTTGCACTTGCTTCTGTTGTAAGTTGATTGGAGACAATGATTCTGAGAGACGGCATCTGAACCTCTAACGGTAGTATGGCCTCAGGCCCGTACACGAGCATGTAGGGTGTACACTGAGTGGGAGTCTTAAAC